TAAAAGTAGGTTAAAGAACAACGAAGTTACTATGACGCAATACCCCTGCCCCTGGTTCAAACTTTGACCACCCTACCCTCACTCAACTTTCGATCTTTGTCTCCTGGGGTATAAAAGCACTTCTCCCTATCCGGCGGAATCGTCACTACCCACCCACCAATCCTCTCAACCAATTTTGTTAGATTTTACCCCTGCCCTGGAGAGCTTCGGCTCCCCAGAGCCTCACTATCTTCCCTTGTATTATCTTTTTAATATTCTGTGTAGTAATAAATATGCATGTAGGACAAGGCGTCGTATATATACACACACACACACTCATACACACACGCACACACATACACACACACTAGCCTAATAAGCTAACAGTTAGGGTCGCAAAGAAGGCAAAACGCATAATTTTTTGCCCAAATATTTACTTACCCGCTCGATCCCTTTCCAGCCAAATTATTGTTATGCGATGTTCTGGAAACCTCAGGCCGAATGCAGACCCTGTTTTTACGTATATCTTGCCGCCGCATCCAATCATCCCAATAAATTTTCGGCCAGTTTTTAGACAATTCCTTCCACAGATCTGCTGTTAGCATCCATCCTAAAAAAAAACATTCATCTTTGGAGATAATTCTGACAATCCGGGCAAATCGCAACAATCAAATGGAGAAAACGAAATAAAACAGAAACAAGTCAAACAATTCCAAAAATTGAATTTCGCGCTCTTCTGAAGAGTAAAAATTGGAACTATCAAATAAAATTCGTAGTTGGAAATGTCATCAACATAAGACATCTCACGGCAGTAGCATAGCTGCCCCTTTCCCTTGTTTACGGGGTATATCCATTTAGTAAAATGTTTTCTTACTTTACCAAAAATTTTGAGGTAAAAATACCCGAGATCGATAGCCAAGTGTTCAAAGAAGGCAGTGTGGCAGTGGATAAAACAACTGAAAAAACTATTAGCTGCAATGACTGGAAAAACTGGCAAATGCAGAATATTAAAGATTAAATGAGTAAGTGGAAGGCACCAATCAAAGATGATCCATTCAAAAGCCCGGACGGAGTTGGATGGAACATTAGAAGGCGGACACAGGAAGAATATGTGAAGTGTGTTTCATCCCTTAGCTGCAAACACAGGCAGAACTTTGCATGCGATTAGAAGCTGGAATCATCAGTACAGCCTCCTACTAGTCGTGTGCTGAATGCACATATGCTGAAATTGCAAGACAGGAATGAGAGAATGCAGAGAAAAGAGATCGATTAAGAGGGGCATAATGACAGGAGTGCAGAGTGACTACACTGAGCGAAAGAGAAGAGTGAAGTTGAAGTGACTCAGAGTAAAGGAGAGATCACGAGATAAACACAATAGCGGCACACAACAAGGTAGCCGGTGCGATCATACGTTTTGTGCAACTCCGTCCACCGAACGATCCACCGAACTCCGAATCAAAATTTCAGGCGCTGCACGTGGGCAGGGAACAGTTCCCCCAAAATTTCAGCTTCCTAGATTCTGCAGTTCCTGAGACAATAATTTTCCTCGCCAAAACTTTTATGAGACCGTACGTGTTACCCATGGGTAAGGAAAGGTTGCATTTAAATTTGCGGGGTCACACTTCCCCTAAATTTTTAGCTTCCTAGCTTTTGTGGTTCCCGAGTTGAAAGTCACGGACAAGTTGCTGCGGAAACATACACACACAAAGACACTCACAGACAACCCCGTGACAATACGGGTTTTGTACTGTCGTTACACAGCACAAAGCGCATAGAAACGAAACAGCAGCTGTTCCGAGAATCGAAATAACCACTAACCAAGTCCGGGGAAAAAATCTGTCCTGTACAGTTGCTCGCTGTGTTTCCTTTCAGTGATATTTGCGCCTCCGTTATCATTCCAAGCACTGATACACCAGACTGTTGGATCAGCGATCAATACCGGTTTCAAAGCAGTGAAGTAGGAGAAAAAGTCATCGGCTATGTCAAGATCGTCTAAAAAAAAAAGCATATTTTGAACTAAACTCAGGGAATTTTTAAAAAAAAATGTAAGCTTGCCATTAAAAAACATTCCCGCTACCATAGTCGGAACTGGCAATATTTCAAACATATATCAAAACATCAGTTTAGGAGAGAAAAGACTACTGCATCATCTAGTACCAAAAATACTGTGACTGTTAGGATAATTGGTGTGATTATCCCATATTTATTTAGTATTTAATATTATATACTATGCCATTTTCTAAGCTGATTATCGTATGATTGTAGCATAGAAGTAATAACCGATTATCC